CGCTGGGGCGGGGGCTTCCCAAGAGCGGGCCTCCCAGCGCGCCGGCGGGACCCGGAATCGCCGCTGCAGAGCCTGCCCCCGCCCTTCCTGCGGGCTCCCGGGGCACCCCCTGGGGTCGCTCATCCGTGAATAGTCGCGGGCGCTGCTCTGGTTCCAACGCTGCGCTCACATCTTGAGATGTGGCGGGGGATGTACCGCCCTTGGCGGGTGGAGTGGGGCGTAGGACCGGGGCTGAGGGGGCACGGACAGGCCACCGAGCATCACTGAGTCGGACGGTGGGAGGGGCTGTGCTCGGGCTGTGGGACGCAATGGGATCGAAAATCCGGGCGCCCAACCCCGTCCTGGGGAGGCCCAGGGGACTCCCAGGGGAAGTGGGATCTGATCCAGGAGCACTTGGAAGGGCAAGTGGAAGGCTGGGGAGATGCAGGTGCGCGGCGCAGAGAGACTTCGCGTGTGGGGCCACGGAGATGGGGCGGATGAGAAGGAAAAGGGGCCTTGGAGAGGAGGAGGAGCAGCCAGAGAAGTGGGGTGGGGGGGACTCGGAAGGGATGCGGGAAGCCTTAGCAAGGGACGGAATTCGAAAGGCGGGGCCAGGAGGTGTGTCAGGTGATGGCCACAGGGCTTGTTGGATAGAAACTGAGACAGGCCCCAGACATTTGGCAACTTCAGCCTTGAGAACCACGGGGAGATGGTTCTGTGCTGCTTGGAGTGAGGAAGCGGAGCGCCCGTGAAGACAGTATTTTCTGGAAGATCTACCAGGAGAGCGTGTAGATGCAGGAGAGGAATGTAGGATGAGAGTGAAGAGCGTTTTAAAGCACAATGTGTGGTCAGAGCACAGGCTCTGGGTTCTGGGAGTCCCCACTCACTATGGGTCCTTGGGCAAGTCACTGACCCTCTTGGTGCATCATTTCACACATCTGTAAAATGGAGATGAAGATGATAATACCTGCCTCATAGGGTTCATGTGACATTAGATGAGATAGTGCCCATGAAGTCCCTTAACGCAGCACTAAAAAGTAGTGCTTATTATTTTTCACTTTTAATTATTAGAAAACTTTGGGTATATTTTGATGGTGAGAGGAAGGAGATGAGAGGCATTGAAGACATGGGAGAGAGAAGGAACTAGAGAGAAAGGGATCCAGAAATTGGATGGAGAGATAAGTCTTCGGTCTGTCTGTGCCAAACCAAGGGAATGAGGGGAGCAGATGGGGATGCAGGGATGTCTGCAGGTTTGGGGGATGCAGTTAAGGGAATGGCTTTCTGATAGTCTTTTCTCTGAAATAGGCCTCAGGGTCATCTGCTGAGAAGACCAGGCCAGGACTGGCTCAGGTAAGGGTGGACGTCCTGATTTCCGCTGTAGCAGCAGGGTCAGACGCCACGCCCTCTTCGCCAGCAGCCCCTGGCAGCCCCAGCCTCACTCCAGGGAAGGTGGGCAGTGAATTTATCTAGAGTCAGGACAGCCTCTGACCTACCTTGTGAGGCTCAACTCAAGTTGATGGATGTGAAAACACTCTATGAGCATAATTTACCATTTTAATCTTTTTTCCTGATCTTGAGGAGCTGGAAGGGCTGTGGCCATCATCAGTGTCAAAGCCTTTCGAGCACTTCACTCGGGTGGTGTACCATGCCTCACTTTCCCCCATGATCTCATTTAGTCATCACCACAGTTAGGTAAAGTAGATATTAATATTACCCCCATTTTACAGATGCAGAAACAGGTTCAGAGAACTTACTGATCTTGTCTCAGGACCCACAGATAGTGATTGATGGGCTCAGGATCCCAATTCAGATCTGCAGGCCTCAGACTATTGTGAAAGTGTGCACAGCCCCTTCTAGTAGCCCAGCAGGATAGAAAGATGTAGAGAGATCATCTTTTCCATTTGATAGATGAGAAACCAGAGGCTGGAAGCTCTGACCTCCATCCCAGGCTCTAGGCTCCACCAGGCTGTCTTGCTTTCCTTTCTTTTTTTTTCTTATTTGTATTTAAAGTTTTTACTTTTACACAATTTTTAAAGGTTACTTTCCATTTACAGTTATTACAGAGTTATTGGCTGTGTTCCCAATTTGTACAATACATCCTTAAACCTATCTTATACCCAATAGTTTGTATTTCCTGCTGCCCGCCCCCATGTTGCCCCTCCCCCTTCTCTTTCCCCACTGGTAACTGCTAGTTTGTTTTCTCTATCTACAAGTCTGCTTCTTTTTTGTTATATTCACTAGTTTATTGTACTTTATAGATTCCACATGTAAGTGACATCATACAGTATTTACTTTCCCTGTCTGACTTAATTCACTTAGCGCAATACCCTCCAAGTCTATCCAGGTTGCTGCAAATGGCAATTTTTCACACCACATCTTCTTTATCTATTCACCTGTTGCGGACATTTAGGTTGTTTCCCCATCTTTGGCAATTTTAAGTGCCTTGCTTTTGTCTATTGTATGAGAGGAAGAACACAGAGCTTGGAGTCCCATAGACCTGGTACTAATCGTTCTCCACTACCAGGGGTTGTGTGACTTTGGACCAGGCATCTTGCTTCTCTGTGCCTTTCCATGCCTATGGACTTCCCAGCAGGTTACTCTAAGGAATAGGAAGGAGAATGTTGCCTGGTGCACAGTAGACGTGTCAGCAGCCATGGTTCCCATTCAACCAGGGATCTGTGTCCCACTTGGCTACTGAGACCAACTCCCTGTGATCTTGTGTTTCTTTAGACCTTTGTTCTCCCCAGGGCCGGGAAGTGGTGGCGCCTGACCCGAGTCTGTGGCTACCTATGACTTCCTGAGTGGGGCCGTGGTGGGAGGGCCCTGAGCAGTCCATTGTCCTGGGGCCTTGGGCTGCAAAGGAGGGGAGGGCTGGGTGTCACCATGACTGATGAAGAATGCCACAGGCAGGACTGGGCCACCAGAGGCCTCTGGTTGTCTTGGCCATGGGGGTCCTGGAATTTTAGAGCCCAGAGAAGCCTTGAAGACACCCTGTTGCATTTCCTTTTTTCACAGATGGGGTAACCGGGACTCACTGTGAGGAAGTGACTTTTACCTGAGACATTCTGGACAGGACAGAGCTAATGCATCTGGAACTTGCATTTTTGGACCTGCGTCCAGAACCCTGGGGATTTCCACCAGAGCAGTGAACATCCCCAGTGAGAATTCTGCGCTGCTTGGAGGTCCCAGGGAACACAGCAGGTTGCTGGCTTTGACTCTGCCCACGTCCCCGGGGAGGAGGTGGATGAAGGAAGCCTGAGGCTCTCCGACAGGGGAACTCTGACAGTGGTTCCTGAAAGTTCGTGACATCGTTCTTTTTTCTCTCTGACTTGCTCTCCTCCTCCCTCTCACTCGAAAGAATGACTGGACACTCCTAGAGCTTTCAGTCACCATCCAGGGGATTTTTTCCACCACAAAGGGTAATTCCTGTCCCATCCCTGCTGTGACTCAGCTGTGACGTTGAACCACACAAGGCAGTGAGAAGATAAAGTCATCAGACTCCTGCTCATCAGAGAGGGTGGCCCGACGCAGACTCCACGGGGCTGCTCCCCTCCCCAGAGGAGCTTGGACAGGCCCCCTCCTCAGCCAGCCTGGGACCCCGGCATGGCCTCTGGCTCAGCCACCAGCCCCCGCTCGGCCCCCGATGAGAACGAGTTCCCATTTGGGTGTCCCCCCACCGTCTGCCAGGACCCACCAGAGCCCAGACCCCTCTGCTGTGCTACATGTCTCCCTGAGAACGTGAGGTGAGGGGTCAGAGGGGCAAAGGGTGGGTGGGAAGGAGGTGCCCGGGAGGGACCCCTGATGGGAGGCAAGGATGAGAGGAACTGGGGCTATGGGCAGGTGACTTCACCTCTCTGGCTTCGGCTTCCACGCTTGTTCCTTGCAGCCCCTGATGCTGCCCCATCTGACTGTTGGTGGAAGGAGAAGCAGCCACAGAAAGAAGGCAGCTCCCTCAGCAGAAGGCCGGCTAGGGTGGAGGGAGAGTCTCTAGGCCCAGCTGGGCTGCTTACTTACTGTATGGCCCGTGCAAATTGCTTAATGTCTTGAAGCCTCAGCTTCCTTGTCTATGAAATGCCTGCAAAGTGATTTTTACCTCCCAGGGCTGTTACAAGGCCCAATCAATAACATTCCCCAGGTTTCTTGTAATAATGAATATCAACCTAGTTGTAAGTGACAAGCTGCTGTACAAATATATCTCCTTCCACAATGTCACCCATCACTTCTATTTGCTGGGAACGCTTTTCAAGGGGACAAAAAAAATCTAGTATATTTATATATGTACATGTTTCTATGTATGTATCTGTAAAATCTAAAATAGGTATCAATGTGTAAGTAAATATCTTTCTGTAAAATACACATGTTTTCTGTATGTATAAAATACTTATGTAATGCAGTCCATATATTATGTATTAAAATATGTGTATGTTTACATTTAAAATATAAATAGAGAGGTGTGACATCCATACAGTCTTCAGCATCCCATCTTAAGCAACTATTATGTACCGACTGTGTGCCAAGCACTCATTCCTTGTGTCTTCAGAAGAAAGATGGATACTATTAGCATCCTATTTTACAGATGAGGACAGTGAGGACTAATGGAGCGATGAGATCAGTTGCCCCAAGTCAGTTTCCTGGCAAATGTATTCTTGAACTGCCGTGGGCCCCTAGCATGACCTTTCTTGGGGCTTTACAGTTTCAGAAGGTGGGGAAACTGAATCAGGCAAGCTTGAAAAGTTCAAATGCTTTGACAAAGGAGGAGGCGGTGGGAAGGAGGGCAGCGGTGGTGGCAGTGGTGGTAGAAAGGGCAAGTCGGGGGAGGAACAAAGCTGGACAGCTGTTGCCGTCAAGCTGAATGTTCTGGGTTCATCTCTGGCTTTTGCCATGGGTCTCTTGGCTTCCTTCTTCATTCTTCCAAAACCAGGGAAGGAGCCGACAGGATGTCGGAGGGATCCAGGCCTGAGGCCTGAAGAGCTCTACCAGCCCTGCCCCTGCCTCACTCTCCCTCTGCCAGTCCATGTGTCGTCCGAGGCCTCATTCTCCTCCCTGTAAAATGGGCCTGACCAGTGGCTCTCCCCAGGGGGATCAGATCACTTGGGGGCTTTGTAAAAGCACATAGGCCCGTGTGTCACCCGAGTCAAAGTCTGGCACCTACTCGTGGTTAAGAACTTCAGATGACGAGTTCTCGGAGGCCCTTTCTTGTTCTGAGAGGCCACAGTTATCTGTAACTACTAAAAATAAGAGACCAAAATCAAACAGAGGAAGCCAAGAAGAGCAGATACAGCCATACATCCACAAACCCTTACCTGAACCCCTGGGCCAGGGTATTTTGGAATTCAGAATTTTTTCAGATTTTAGAGAAGCAAGTCAGTCAGTGCATCACTATGTAATTCTTCCAGCGGGGTTTGGAGCCGCACCTTATAATCTAGTGTGTGAATATTTCTGCAATCCAACATAAATATTCACACCAAATGGTATAAGTAAGGGCTGTCATAGCCTTCAGTCACTTCAGAGCAGGTCTGGCTGCCAGAGAAGCTCACTGCAAACTATGAGAAAACATCGGGTGCCCAGTGCTTAGAGGTCTGGGGGGGGGTGGGTCTGGGATCGTGGAACTGTGTACTCACTGGTATCAGCCGCCACGCTCAGGCCTGGACTCCTGGAGCTATGGGCTCGGAGGTTGATGCCACGGAGTTGTGAATGCCTCACTCAGCGGCATTTGTTCATGTGTCCCCAGGAACAGCGAGGATCGGATCTGCCCCAAATGCAAGGGAGACGATGCCCCATCTGAAAGCCCAGGAGGCCTTCTGTCTCAGGACAAGGTACGTCAGCTCTGCCAGGAAAGACTGTCCATTGTCCCCATTTGCCCAGGGTGAGGCCTAGCAGGTATCTGCCTGCATCGTCCCTGGCAGGCGCCTCCCTCCTTGTTTTAAGTCTAGACTGAATCTGGTTTGTCAGCAGTGAGGAGACTGATGTTCATGGTGGGGAAGTGACTTGCCCAAGGCCACCTGGCTGTGCTGTGACAGTTTCAGGATGAGAACAGCAGTCCAGACGGGGTCCACAAACTATGGGCTATGGGCCCAACCCAGCTGGCCACCTGAGTGTACAGCACAGGAGCTAAGAATGATTTTTATATTTAAAAGGCTTTAAATATCAAAAGAAGAATGAGATTTTGTGAGATGAAAATTATACAAAATTCTAATGCCCTGGTTCATAAACAAAGTTGTGCTGGTTCATAGCCATAACTCACTCACGGATGTGTTGTGTGTGGCTGCTCTACCCTGGGACGGCAGAGGTGAGTGGGTGCATCAGGGTGCTCACAGTATTTACTTTCTGGCTCTTTACAGAAAAGGGTGGCCAGCTCTTGATCTAGACAGTTCTTTCTGGTCCTGTTTGCTCATAGACAGGGACAGGCCATCCTCAGCTCACTTCTCTGGCTCTGCCAAGCTGTGCTTCCAGGAATAAGAGGCAGCTTTGGAAGTGTGAAGGGCCAAAGAGACATCTTCAGACACCAGTTTAGAACCCCAGCCCTTCCAAGTTGAAAGGACCCCTGCAGGTCGTCTGTCCAGCCAGCAGTTCCCACATGCCGACCAGCACTGGTCCATTCCCACCAGTTCATGACAAAATGATAAAAATAAAACATCCTGAGGGTTTTTTTAAATAAAACTAAATTCTTTTCATTTATGGAATCAACCTTTACTCTGAGATTATGCCCCTCCCATATGTGTCTCCGTATAAAGTAAATGATTGTGATAGTAGGTGATATTATTTGGGGTAAAGCCTTTACTTGATAAGATAAAAAGATGGCAATCTTTATGTTAATCTCCTAATTTAAAAGCGAACAATCTTGTATTGGTTCATAAATCCAAAGCTATAAGAACCGCTGCTCTAAATCTAACCCCTTCATTTTATCCGTGGAGCCCCAACACCCACGGGGGAGTCTCGGTACAAAGTTCCCCAGTGACCAGGGTCTCTCCAACTCGGCCACCTGTACTGTCCACACTGTGAGGCCCCCGGCTCCTTTCAGCTGGAGCTCCCCCACTGCCCAAACCACAGCCCAGGGGTCAGGAGCCTGGTGTCCGGGGATGGCTCTATAATTCAGTGTGTGGCCCTGACCACGCCTATGCCTGTTTCTCCACCTGCAAAATGAAGAGGCTCGGTTGACCATGCAAGGCCTTTCCAGCACCTGTGACGTCCAATGACCAGTCAGCGGCTGGTGGGGCAGTCCTCCCTCCTGCTGTGAAGCCAGAGGCAGGCAGGTCTCCACACCTCCTTCTCCACTCTGGCCCCTCTCCTCCCAAGAGTTGGGGAACTTCCTGTCCCACCCAGAGCTGGTTCTGAGGGCTCTCCTGTCCTCTTTTCAGTAGCCCCTCCCCCACAGGCCCTCAAGGGAGAAATAGTAAGGATCCAATGCATTTTCCCAGAACCTGACACTCTACAGTGTGGTGAGAGCTAATAAGATAAACTGACCTGTGGAGTAACTTCCCGAGCCTCCCTGTTTGGGCATCCTTGTGCTCTGTTGGGCCAACATGTTCCACCCTCAAAAGGGAGGGCATGGGTTAGATGCCTTCTAAGGTCCAGAAGGTACCAAGACTGTTGGTTTGAACTTGTTTCATTCTTGCCTGTTAACAAAATTAATACAGATTCATTGTACAAATATTAGGTAACATAGAGAAGAGATACTTTAATACCTCTCAATCCAGTGGCCTTAATTTGCTCATCTCTGTTAATGTGAAATCAGATGAAAGTGGAAGTGCTCTGATTAAAGGGCAGCCTGGAATCCTGTCCTTTTCGTTACCCCACTTCTTTCTCCTGTTCCAGCCCCTCAGGGACTCTGGGGATTCCTAGGGCCCTACCGAGCGCAGTTTGAAACTTGCTGCATTAAACCAAAGGAAGTCACTTTAATGCTGGAATTACAGGCACCGGAGCAGGCAATAGAGTGGGAGGGGGTGCTGCCCGATGCAGTCATCGCTGTAACCCCGGTGGAGCACTGCGGGTGGGGTGAGCCAGTGGTCTGACACCTGCACAAAGCCACAAGTGGAAAGACCAGGGACTCCTCCATCTCCTGACCCGCTGGGAACTTTGTGGGGACTTTTGACCAAAGGAAAGCAGCTGCTTATAAATCAACACTTTGCATACATGGAGATTCTGAAGTTTGTGCATCTGGGGAAACTTGGGGAATGGAGTTGGGGTGGAGGGGCCAGGCCAGAGACCAGCTGAGCGGAGCCCAGAGGTGCCCATCTTTGCAGAGACTTTCCATGCCATCTGCTTATCAGTTTGTCCTCATCCTGTGACTGCATTAGATTAATGTCTCTCTAAGAAGTGCTCAGAGCCCTAGACTGATTAGCTAATGCAGGAAGCAGATATTGAAGGATTACTGGTGACCTAATTAGAGACTTGGTTCTTGCCTGGAATGACCTTCCTACAGGAATGACAGTGAAGTGGGGGACGACCCCGTGGCTGGGAAATAGTCAATTCTGTGTGCCTGCGACCCGATGAATGGGATTGCTTCCCTCATTCTCTTCCCTCTGAGGCCACTCAAGATGGCCAAAAGCAGGCTGGCATTAATTGCCAGTGGCTTACAAGAATGCCTTAAATTATCGTAGAATCAGAAGACAACAGGAGGTCAAGCTGTCTAGTCCCATTTCCGTTCCGTACTGGATTCCTGCCAGGTGGCTTTATGTCCTTACAGTGACAGGAAACTCATTAGTCCATGAAACCACCACTTCCACCATGGGGGACTCTCACTATTGTACCATTTTCCTCTCTATTTGTACTGAGCTGAAGTCTGTCTCCCTTGGAGACACAAAAGCCAAGTCAGCCTCCTGTCCCCTGAGTTGGTCCTGCATCTGTGGAAAGATGCTGACCACATCCCTCTTGAGTCTGTCCTCAGCCTCTATGCACATCTGTGTCCTTTGAAGTACGATGCCTGGAAATGAACCCCCCAACCCTTGCAATTCTGAGATTGACAATTGTATCTGTAACCTTGCCGATCCCATGACATCCTGTGTCATGGGTGGTGGTGACACCCCTATTTCACCAGCAGGTAATATAATGAGGTTCAGCAAGGAGGTGTGCCTGGACCAGTCATATAGCAAAGGGGAGGCAAAGTTAGGCTCCCACTCCTGCCCCCTAGGCTGCTGGCATCTTCTCCTCTCTGCTGCCTCCAGATGGTGGATCACCCCCAAATATTTTATGCAGATTTAAATACACAGTCAGCCTTAAGTGCTGGAATCCACAAAGTGCTACAGAAACAGGAATGGGCAAGACTACTTTCAACTAAGAGAATCAGGCAGGACTTCCTGGAGGAGGTGGCAGTTGAGCTGAGCAGTGGTTGCCAGAAGGGAAACCAGCTCAGATATGGAGGAGGGCAGGAACTGGCAGGCAGAGGCAGACAGACTAGGTCCACCCTATCTGTGTAGAGTGCCTCTCCCTCAACATGAAATGAGACCCAAGGAGAAATAGCCCCTCCAGGCATCCAAGGCCTCGGCCAACCTCTGTGCACAGCATCACAGCATGGGCCTTGCCCAGCACGTTGCAGACTCTCTGTTCTGTGCAGTGGCTTCACGGAGGCGGCTCTCATGCTCCTGGCATCCTCTTAACACTCACATTCTCCGAGGCCCATGGGACCCCAAGTGGGGGCCCCTTGACGGAGCCCTCTGCTGACCCCACCACAAAGGACCTGGGTAAGCAGGGCAGCCGGGAACACCACGCCCCCCCAGACTTCTCGGACGTGGACAGAAGGACAAGTGTTCCCTTAGGGCTGGGACTTTGTTTTCTCTGTTTCCTCCCCAGAGGAAATTCCACTGCGAATTTTATTTTTAGCGATTTGCAAGCAGCAAGGCCACTCACACAGGGGCCGCTTGTAGCACCAGACAGCACAGGCTTGGCCCAGGACAGTTGCTGCGTTCTTCCTCTGCTACCCCAGCCTCAATCCCTCTCCTGTCCCCTCCATCCCCGGCCTTCAGATGAGGCCACCATTTGGTCAAGGTGAAGACTTCCTGGTGGGGAGGAAGGACCCTAGATATAGACCCCTGGCCCCTGGCCTCTACCACACCTTTGCCCCAAACTTGCATTGCCTCCTGCCAGTCACCAGCCATCCCTGAGCTCCAGCTTCCTCACTTCCATGAGAGAGGCAGCACCTCAATGCCCTGACCGCCTCCTCGTGGCGCTACAAGATCCGGTGGGGCCGGGCTCACACAGGTGCTGAGACAAGCCCTTGCAAGGTCTCGTAACTGGGGGATGGAAGACCCAGAGTCGATCGGCATCTCACATGGGCACACTTGGTGTGACCTGGATGAAGCTAATCCCGCCCTGCCTGCCTCAGAGAATTACTGCAGGGATCCTATGCGATGCCATGCGAAGATGCTCTGGTCCTGTTTGAATATAGATGCCTTTAGTGATGGTCTTCACCTCTCCCTGCCCCCGAGGAAATCCAGTGGGAAAATAGGGTTTTATAGAATTAGCTATTGAGTTTGAGATGTAAGGATTAAATGAGATGCACGTATGTGACAGCCACTGGGGGAAGAAAAAGATGTCCCAAAGGCAGTGCTTAATCCATAGGAATGATTAGGCTAATAATCATACTACTGTTACTGCTAATGGCTCACATTCATGGAGCCATTTATGTCAGGCAGAATGATGCTCCCTGAAGATGTCAACATCTTAACCCCCGGAACCGGTGACTCTGTTACCTGACATGGCTGTGTTAGTCCGCGGGGGCCTTAACAACGTACCGCAGGCTGGCGGGGCGTGAACAACAGAAATTTATTTCCTCACAATTTGGGAGGCAAGAAGTTCAAGATCAGGGTTGGTTTCTTCTGAGGCCTCTGTCCCTGGCTTGGGGATGCTGTCTTCTCCCCGCATCCTCACATCATCTTCCCTCAGTGTGTCTGTGTCCACATTTTCTCTTCTCAGGACATTGGTCATATTAAAGTAGGTCCACCCTATTTAACCTCATTTTTACTTAATTACCTCTTTATAAAGACCGGTCTCCAGGTACAGTCACATTTGGGTAGAGGGGGTTAGGATTTCCAAAGATGAACAGGGTGGGTGGGGGGAGGACACCACTCAACCCATAACCATGGGAAAAGGTAGATGTGATTAAATTAAGCATCTTGCAATGGTCCTCAAAAGAGGGAGACAAGAGAGTCAGAATAAGAATGAGATTGGAGGATTCTCTGCTTTTGGCTTTGAATATGGAGGAAGGGACCACAAGCCAAGGAGAGGAGGTGGGCAGCCTCTAGGAACAGGAAAAACCAAGAAAATAGATTCTCCCCTAGGGCCTCCAGAAGGAACACAGCCCTGCTGACACCTTGACTTAGGACTTCTGACCTCCAGAATTGTAAGCTATAAGTGTGTGTTGCTTTAAGCCATTAAGTTTGTGGTATTTAACAGCACAATAGGTCACTACTATCAGAACTTACATTTTGTCATTTAATCCTCACTATAACTCATTAAGGGGAGAGTCCTATTTTTACCCCCATTTTGCAGATTTGGAAACCAGGACATGATGAAGTTAATAACTCTCCCAGGCCACACAGCTAGTATGTGAAGTGACAGAGCTGGCTGCGGAGCCACCCCCTCACCCCTGTAGCACTCCAAGGAGTGAGAGACTGAATGATGGATGGTGGGACTCTGGGCAGCCTGGCTGGCCGCTGACAGCCTCTCGAGTCTCCCCCGCCCCTCCTCTGCTGGCCATGGGAGGCTGCTCCCAGCCCACACCCATCTCGCATGGTGATAGGGGATGTCCGCTACCCCAACACGGCACTTCCTTCCGCTGCACAGACACAGCACCCCGAGGCTCCACTGCCAGAGGAACACGTGCCCCTCCACCTGTGGGTGACTCTCAAGTCCCACCCTTGGTTTTTATCACTTTCACCTTTTGACTGCCCCCGACTCTCTCGTCCAACTTATACCCTTAGAACCGCAAAGGATTCAAATCATGGACGGATGTGTAGGGAGTTTCAGGGACTGAGGGGTCACCCCTAGTGCCGTCACCCAGGAGCCAGGGCCTCACCAGCTCCAGGCCCTCCTACGCTCCCGCAGGGTGGGAAGCTACCTGCTGGGAGAGACTGCATCCTCGGGCACTTCCCAAAGCCAGCGCGGTCTCCCTCCACCTCCCGGCACAACATCTGTTTTCTATTTGTTGGGAACAACTTGTGCTTGAAGCCCAGGGCAGTGGGGCAAAGGAGGGGGTGGCCCTTTGCTGGGCTGTGCTCTGTGTCCCAACCAACTGTCCTCATTAAACCAACAGCTCTTGCTTATTTTACTTTTAAAGAATAATAACCTAGTGTGACTTTCTATTTGCTTAGCTCAGAAGACCTCTGTCCTTCCCTCCTTTCATCCAAATCTCCCTTCACATCACCCCAGGAGACTGTTCTTAAAAACAACAACAACAACAACAAAGCTCTTGGAAAACCAAGATATTATTGATATGTAATAAAAATTCACTCATTTTAAGCATACGGATTGTTGAGTGCAATCCTGTGACCTACTGTCAAGAATGTTTCTGCACCAGAAAAAGCTTCCTTATGCCCCTGGCTCATCAGTCTCCCTGGCTGCAGCCCCGGGCAGCCGCTCGTCTACTTTCCATGGCTAGCATTTTGCCTTTTCTAGAATCTCATGAGAATGGAATCCCAGGATGGAGTCTTTCGTGTTTGACTCATCTCATTTAGCATAATGTTTTGAGGGCCCTCCATGTTATTAGTATTTAGTCCATGTGGTTCCTGAGAAATGTCCCAGAGTAGGGCGGTACCACAGCTGGTTCATCCAGCCACCGGTGGATGGGCACCAGGATTGCCTCCAGTGTGGGCCTATTATGAGTAAAGCTGCTGTGAACATTCATGTACACACATGGACATATGTTTCAGTTTCTCTTGGGTAAGTTCTTAGGAGTGGATTGTGTGGGTTGCACAATGACTTGATGAGCATGGTCTATAGGTAAGTTACTTTACAAGTATGATTTACCTTTATGAGATACTTCCATAGACTTTCCCAAAGTGGCTGCACCATTTTGCATTCCCACTAGCAACATATGAGTGTCCCAGTGCCTCCATGTCCTCACCAAAATTTGGTATCATCTTTCTTTTTTAATTTTAGCCATCTAGCGAGTGGACAGTGGCATGTCATCATAGTTTGCATTTCTCTGATGACTGGTGGTGTGGAGCAGCTTTTCATAGGCTTGTCATTTATATATCTTCTTTTGTGAAGTATCTGTTCAGGATATTACCCATTTTGTATCAGGTTGTTTGCCTTCTTATTATTGAATTATAGGAGTTCTTTATATATTATGGACATAAGCCCTTTCCAGATACATGTTTTGGGAAAAAATGCTCTCCCAGTCTCTCCTGAGCTTACTCTTGATAAAAGATAGTGATTTGCAATGGGAAGAGCCCTGGAGTTGTGCCACTTCCTAGCTATTCCTTCTTGGGCAAATCTCTTCCCTTTGGTGAGCATCAGTTTCTTCATCAATAAAATGAGAACAAAAAACCTACCCTGCCATACTCAAGTGTTGTCAGGGGCCCTAGGGAGAATTGTGTCCATGAAGGCATTTTGTAAACTTTCCAGACCTATGCCTAGTATTGTCCAGTTTCTGTTGACTACTTGAGACCCTTCTGTGTCCCTGCCCTCTGGCTCTACATTATCTGGAAGTGAGGGCAGTGCAGGACAAACATGCCTCCATCAAGGATGGACAAGGAAGGATGCAAATGGGAATTGTGAGCATAGTCCCATGGGCTTCAGGAGGAAGGAGGCGCTTGCACATGCAGCCAGCATGTTTTGAGTGATTCCTCTGTGCCAGGCATTGCCCCCCAGTGCTGGGAACACATCTGGGTCCCTCACAGAGCCTGCAGACCAGTGGGCCAACCAAAGAGTGAGTGGTGATTACAGGTCTGGGTGGAACATGTCCTTCCCAGGGTCACAGGAAGATCCCTGATCCTGTTTTGAAGGAGGATCACAAAAAGGCTGAAACTCAAAAGGTGGAAAGAAGTCAGCCAGGCAGAAGGACCAGCATGTGCAATGTTTTGTGGCCCAGCCCAGCTCATGCCTGGTGGATGCTGGTGCTTTGCAGAGAGCCACTGGGATTCCATAACACCCTGTGACATGGTTATTATTTCCAGGATCACCCCGAGGTGGCTGAGGCTGGAGTTGGGTGCCCCTTTGCAAATGTTGGCTGCCCCTTCAAGGTAAGCATCTGGGTGTGAGAAAGGAGATCTGTTCACTGCAGTCCCAGACCTGTGGTTCTTCCCCACTTCAGCCCCTCTTGGATTTTCCCACAACATCAAGCTACTTCTCTGGATATCCCTTTCGTGACTTTCCCAAGCAACAAAATCACTGGTAAATCATCTCTGTGCTAAGGAGAGGCTCTTCTTAATGTCTCACCTGAGCATCGTAGCATCACTAAAATGACCCCCCAAAACTCTGTGCCCCTCTCCATGGTCCTGAATCATCGCTGCACTCAAGGGTAGGGCAGAAGTTTTGCTCTAGAGGCTAGGATGCACATGGCTCACCATGGGCATGTCTGATGCCAGGGTCCTCCCAACTCCTCTTACTGTACATTTCCCCTTTGCCTGGTGAATAGATATGACTTCCCTTAGCAACCTTTGGTGGCAGGACTCTCCACTGCTCCCTGGTTCTCCCTCCTCCTCCTCTTCTGTTTTCACTGATCAGCTCTACTCTCTTGGCAGGGGAGCCCAAAGCTCATGCAAGAGCATGAGGCCACCTCCCAGGTCACCCACCTGAACCTGCTGTTGGGGTTCATGAAACAGTGGAAGGCCCAGCTGGGCTCTGGCCTGGAGTCTGGACCCATGGCCCTGGAGCAGAATCTGTCAGACCTGCAACTGCAGGGGGCTGTGGAGGTGGCTGGGGACCTGGAGGTGGACTGCTACCGAGCCCCGTGCTCCGAGAGCCAGGAGGAGCTGGCCCTGCAGCACTTCATGAAGGAGAAGCTCCTGACCGAGCTGGAGGGGAAGCTGTGTGTGTTTGAGAATATCGTCGCCGTCCTCAACAAGGAGGTGGAGGCCTCCCACCTGGCCCTGGCCGCCTCCATCCACCAGAGCCAGCTGGACCGCGAGCACATCCTAAGCTTGGAACAGAGGGTGAGCCTAGGAGGCAGGCTTGCCTTCCAGGCAGCTCACAGGGGTCCCCTTCACCCCATCTTTTCCCCAGATCAGTGGACCAGGCTTCCTCCTAAGCATTCTCCCTGTTCAGAGCATTCACAGCCCCATATCTCTCCTGTCTCCCAAGACCTTCTAGGAAGAGGACTGAGTTGGCAGCTATAGTCAAGGTCAAACTCCCCCATCCAGTGCTTCATTTCCTTTGCTTGAACTCCTTCTGCAATAGGACCTTCCCTCCCCAAGCATCTCATTCCACTGCTGGACACTCTTCACCACTAGAAAGTTCTCCCTCCTACTGAATTAAAGTCAGCTTCTCTGGGTCTTCCCTGCCCCGTCAGGGCCCACAAAACGTCTGACTTCTAGTCCCCACAGAAGCCCTTCAGCACGAGCAGTCAGGAATAATTGCCTGCCTGAGTATTTCCTTCTCTAGGCTACATGCCCCTGCGCCTTCACCCCTTCATCAGAGCACACTGTTTCTTGCTCTCCTCATATGTGCTGGTTCAAACCTGTAGGGTTCTACACACTCAGAGCGGTGGTCCCAGACCACCAGATAACCCACTTACCTGGCAGTTCTTGGCTGAGCCAGACTGTCCCCTCTGTTGTTTCAGAGCTCATACTTCTCTTAATACAACCAGTGACAAGGCTCGTGTTGCTTTTACGGGGCAGCAACATCACGTAACCGCTTCACGTTGGGCTAGGCCTGGTTTTTAGCTTCAGGTCCACCATTAACTTGCCGTGTAGATTTGAGCAAGTCACAGGACTGTAGCTTTTCCATCAGTAAAACTGGGGATTCAGTTTTCTTTAAGGACACTCATGTCCATTCCTGACTTCCCTACGTGAGCATACCCAAGGACAAGCTTGTATTATTTCAAATGTCAGTGGGGAAACCTACCAGGAGAGCCAGGCGAGGGTTCGAGTGATCGAGTAAAGGCTTTATTTATGTAACTCTCGCCCCAGGTGGGAGTGGGCTCCCCGAGGGCAGTGGCCATGTCTTCAGTTCATCAACCAATTTCCTGGCTCTGCTCTCTATTTTTCCTCCCCTGGGGGTAGGTAATTATGTTTATTATTTACTTATTTATTTGAATGGCAATACTGGGGATTGAACCCAGGACCTGGTGCATGCGAGGCATGCGCTCTACTACTGAGCTATACCCTCCCCCCGGCTCTGCCCTTAACATACCAGGCACTGTGCAAGGCGTGGACACAGATAAAATGAGCACAGGCCCCTCCCTCAATAGCAAACACCATGTATCTGGTAGGAAAGGCCGGAAAATGTATCTCAGACTGTCGTAAGGGCTCTGTATGAGTGTGGATGGGAGAGAGAAGCCAGCTGCGCTAGGGCAGTCCCAGAGGATGGACTTTGTGAGCCAGGTTCCTGACGGGTGAGTAGGAGTTGGCCAGTGAAGGAAGGGAAAGGGATTCCAGGCGGGAGGGACGGCACATACAGAGGCAGATGCATGGGGCTGAGGGAGGCAAGGTCGGGAAGGCATGTTTTGGGCATTTCTCTCTCTCCATCCCGCCATCCTCACCCAACCCTCACTCTGGCTTCTGGTGTCCCTGGCTGAATGGGCTTCCCTGCCGCAGGTGGTGGAGTTGCAGCAGACCTTGGCCCAGAAGGACCAGGCTCTGGGCAAGCTGGAGCAGAGCCTCCGCCTCATGGAGGAGGCCTCCTTTGACGGCACCTTCCTGTGGAAGATCACCAACGTCACCAGGCGGTGCCACGAGTCAGCCTGCGGCAGGACTGTCAGCCTCTTCTCCCCAGGTAACACCCCTGCCGCCAAGGGTGCACAGAGACCAGCTGGGGGAGGCAGGCCCCACGGGGCCCAGGAAACAAGCAGGGAGCATGGCCAGCTCTGACCGCTGTGCTGCATCCATTCAGGCCTCCTGCCAGGTGGAAGTCATTGGAGAGGGGTAGGCCCCTCCCAGCTCAGCCATGTGGAGCAGAGGCTGTTTGCACCAGGCAGGCCTCCCACCTCCCCTGAGCATCGGTCATATCCTGCAACTAGGAATAAAACTGTTATCTAGTTTGTGTGGATATCGGTGGTGAAAGCGCTCTGTGAAGTGGAGTTTGTGCAGGTGAGAGGGCAGCAGAGAACGGTTTTCACAAGTGAATACCGTGGAGCCCACCCTCAGAGAGCAGGGGTCTGAAAAAAGACAAGCGGGGAGCTACGTGAAACGTGCATTGGTGTGCGATCGTGGGTAGCATGAGTAAGGAGTGTGTCAGCTGGGGCAGTTCTTACTCAGTTCTGGGGCACCCGGGCCTGGCGCGATGTCTTGCATAAAGTAGGCAGTTACTCTGTTGATGTTTCTCTTAACTATCTGGTACTGCTTATGTAACAGTATCTGTATTTGCGCTCAGACCTGTGTGCTTTTCCCCTCGCCTCACTGCCTCACTTGTGTGCGTCTAAGTAAATGACTGGGTCGTTCAGGAGGATTTCTAAGGATGACAGTTTTAACCACCGCTCGCATCTGCCCCAGCCTCAAACCCTTCCTCTCCACCCACCCCGACACACCCAAGGCCAACAGCACTGGGGTTAAGAGGGCCATCAGAATTTGCCCCACACCGCAGAGCAGACCTGAGTCCCAAAGCCAGGCCCCTTTCCTCGGGAACAGAGGCTCCTACCCGTAAGCTTTCTGGCCTGGCTTCTTTCCAAAGAGAGAAGAAGCAAGCAGTGTCTCTGGCTTCCTGTTCTACCAGAGTGTGAGGGGCAGAGATGAGTCAGACTGCCAGCCTGTCTCTCCTCTGCTCCTTCCTGCCTGCGCCTCACACCCTGTCCCCACTCAGCCCCTCCCAGAGGGGCCCTCATGGTGACAGTCACTGGAACGCACACTCAGCTGCCAGGGAAGGAGTCCGCAGGCCCCTGTGCTTAATCACTAGGGGATGAGTCACTCCAGGGTCTTTTGCCAAAGGTGGCCAGCAGAAGTGGGAGCCGCCCCACTCACCCCCAGCCTCCAGAAGACCCCGGCCGCTCGGTCTAGTGCAGCAGAAAGGAGTCAGTGTTGGGAGGTAGAGGGCCTGGCCCATAACTCTGGCTCTGCTCCCAGCACACTGTGAGACTGTGGCCAGCCACTTCCCCTCATTGGGCTTGGGTACTGACTGTAAAATGCAGGTTGGTTAAATCAAAAGTGTGATCCCAGGGCCAGCGGCACCACCATGCCCTGGTAAAAATGCAAATTCTCAGTCCTCACCCCAGCACTAGTGAGTCCGAAGCTCCAGGCGTGGGGCCGGGCAATCTGTGATTCTGATGGCCAGTGATAGCCACTGGGCTGGGTGACCTCCAAGATTTGTTGCTCTATGATGGAAAAGAATACTGGGCTCCAACCCCAGATTTCTTAGTTTTGAGCCACTGACCTTGAGCGTGCCTGCCAGTCCCCTTTTCCTCATCTGCAAAGTCCCGCACTCCCCAGCTGAGTCAGTGCCGACTCTGGCTTCTGCATTTCAGCTTTCTACACGGCCAAGTACGGCTACAAGTTGTGTCTGCGGCTCTACCTGAATGGGGATGGGACGGGGAAGAGGACCCACCTGTCGCTCTTCATCGTGATCATGAGAGGCGAGTATGATGCTCTGCTGCCATGGCCTTTCCGGAACAAGGTATGGGCCTGCGGAATGCTGTGGGTGGGGGCTGGAAACTTGGGTCCTGGTCCTGGTTTAGCCATGAACTTGCCTGTGTGACCTGGGTCAGTCCCTCACCCTCTATGTTATGTTTCCCCTTTTATAAAATAAGACCCTGAGTTCACACCTAGTGGCCAAGTCTCCCTCCTGCATTGTGAGTCCAGGGGCTAAAGTGCCCACACCAGCGCCCCTGGAAGGCATGTAAAGATGAAATTCACTTGGTGAGGTGAATAAGGAAAGCTTCCTGGAGGAGGTGCTGTGGGGCTCACCTGAACTGGCAGCATTCTCAGAAAAAGAGAAGGAGACAAGTACTACTGTATACCTATTAGAATGGCCAAAATCCAAAACACTGACAACACCAAACGCTGGTGAGGATGTGGAGCAACGGGAACTCTGTCATTGCTGGTGGGAACATAAAATGGTACAGCCACTTTGGAAGACCGTTTGGCGGTTTCTTACAAAACTAAACATACTCTCATCTTGCCGTGTGACTCAGGAATCACATTCCTTGATATCTCCCCGATGAGTTGAAAACTTAGGTCCCCGTTAAACCCTGCACACAGATATTTATAGCAACTTTATTCTTAATTGTTAACACTTGGAAGCAGCCAAGATGCTCTCCGGTAAGTGAATGGGTAAATAAACCGTGGTACATTTAGACAACAGAATATTATTCTGCATTAAAAAGAAATAAGCCACCAAGCATGAAAAGACATGGAGGAACTTGAAACACATATGACTGAGTGAAAGAAGCCAATCTGAAGAAGCGACATACTGTGTGATTCCAATTATATGACATTTTGGAAAAGGCAGAACTGAGGAAACAGTCAAAAGATCAGGGGTTGCGAGGGGTTGATGGAAGGGAGGAAGAATGAGTAGGTGGAGTGCAGAGGATTTTGAGGGCAGTGTAAATACTCTGAATAATATTATAGTGATCGATTCATGTCCTTACACATTTGTCCCAACCCATAGAACATACACCAGCAATGAGCCTTAATGTAAACTGTGGACTTTGGGTGATAATGTTGTGTCAATGTAGGTTCATCGATTGTAGCAAATGCACTGCTCTAGTGCGGGATGTTGATGGTGGCGGGGCAGTGTAGGAGCAGGGGATATGTGGGAAATCTCTATTTTCCATTCAATTTTGCTGTACACCTTAAAAAAAAGTCTATTAAAAATGTTTTGAAGGGTAGGGTGGGTGGCTAGGCATTCCCTGAAGGCGAACAGCAGCAGCAAAGGGGTCGGGGAGGGGACGGGTGGGTCAGGGGTCCAGACCTCAGCTGGGAAAGCAGGTGGGGCCGGGGCAGGAGTGCCAATGTGGTCTGGATATGCGTCAGTAGTCAGTGGTTCCCATACATGAGGTTTTAAAAATACCAAAATACCAGCGACTGGGTTTCACTACCGTACATGGTGAGGCCTGAGCATTAGGATTTTTTGAACCTGCCGAGGGAATTCTCAAGTGCAGCCAAGTTTGAGAACCACTGCAGTGGGCCATGGGAAGCCACTTCACGTCCCAGTGGGCGTTTCAGTGCCAGGGAGGAGGGTATGTGTCACTTTGAGATCATCGTCTTCTCAAAGGCACACAGAGCCCCTGTGCAGACCTGACGTTCAATTTGTGTCTCAGAGTGTTGACTGCCATCCCCTTCGTAGAAGGCCTCTGCCTCGCCCAGGGGTTCCCAGCTGCGGTCAGACATCTCAGAGTGGGAGGGGCAGGGTGGGTTATGGAGACCAGCCTCCTAGTCTGTGCTTAGTCCCACCTTCCGCCCCCAACAGCCAACCACATTGACAGTGGCAGTCGAATTCCCCACTTCCTGTTGGATAGAACACCCGATCCTGAATCATGGGACCACCTGAAGCCTGCTCACAATACCTGGTGCTTCCATTTCCAGACTCACTATATGTCCCGTGCGGTCCTTACATATTTCTTTGACTCCTGTTCAGTGTGAGCTCAGGGCCAGAGGGGCTGCATGGGTGGCAGACACAGACCTGGGCCCTGACGTCCCACCGGCCTTCGCCCCCAGGTCACCTTCATGCTGCTGGACCAGAACAACCGTGAGCACGCCATCGATGCCTTCCGGCCCGACCTGAGCTCAGCCTCCTTCCAGCGGCCCCAGAGCGAAACCAACGTGGCAAGTGGCTGCCCGCTCTTCTTCCCCCTTAACAAGCTGCAGTCGCCCAAGCACGCCTACGTGAAGGATGACACCATGTTCCTCAAGTGCATCGTGGAGACAAATGCTTAGGGCGGGCAGGGCTGGGCCAGCTGCACCTGGGTCCCCAAGAAGCACCAGCTCAGATGGGGGTCTGGCAAAAATACTGAGGTCCTGCCCTTGGCACCCAAGATCCCAGGGCACAATGATGGGCTGGGGTGGCATGATCTGAGCAGGGCGGACAGACTGACTGTGGCTGGCCATCTGCTTTGGGTGGCAGGGCCTTGAGCTGGGCCCACAGAGGCAGAGGGTCCAGAAGGAGGCAGTGCAGGATTGTCCCTCCTGCACTGACCAGGCAACACTGGAGCCCCCCACCCAACGCTGGTCCTGAATGTTGAGGTGGCATCTGGCCAAGATGCAGAGGGCGTGGGAACCAGCGTGGGCATGGATGGTGAACTGGAGATGTAGGGCCTCAGCAAAGAAGCTCTTGGGATGAGAATGCCTCTGCAGGCCACCCTGGAGAACATGCTTGCTGTCTTCCTGCTTGAGGTCAGAACCGGGACCGGGGGTGGAAGGGACAGGGTGCCAATGTGAATTTCTCTGTCTTGCCCTGGACTGAGTTCCCCACCACTGGAGGTGATCAAGCAAAGCCAGAGTGCTACCCTGGGTGGGGTGGGGGGAGCGGGCATCACACTGAGGGGTGGATTTGAAGACCTTCAAGGTCCCTTCCAGCCTAGAAAATCTACCTCCAGGCCTCCTGGGCCAGATGCGGCTCAGGGCTGCAGCAGTACTGGAAACATTCAGGAGCCTCATGACCTCCAGGGTCCCGGCTCACCATCAGTACCACCGGGTGGGCTGAGCTGGCCGGCACAGCACCTGCCACCCCAGGCCTGGCTGCTCTGTTTCCCCACAGTGCACGGCCACACACAGGCCCCGCATCCTGCGTTCCCCTAGCCGAACTCGCCTCCACCTCCTCCAGGTGAAACCGGGGCACCGAGCTTCCAGGAGAAGCCAGGAGTGTGGAGAAGGAGGAGGCACAAACTCCACGCTCCCCACCTGGAGGCCCCACCCTTGGCTGTTTCCAGAATCCCATGTCACCTGATTAACCAAGCGACGGTTCCAAGGTCTCTGAGCCATCAGCAGAGGTTGTCCTCTTAGAAATGTATAAAACCAAGGAAAGAATTTATTCACTCTCTTTTGCAGTTTTCATGAAGGGTCTGGTGGTGGGAGTTGGTGGTAACTTGTGAGCTCTGGGTGGTGCTGCCAGTTTTGCCGGCAGCATCCAAGGCTGGCGTCCTTGGGGGAGCATCCCTCTCAGCCGCAGTCTTCTGTCTGTATCGGGGGAGGGGGTGCCCTGGCCTCTCTGGGTTCTGTGACCTCACAGGAGATGCTGCCCGGGAGAGGCTGCAGAGGGAAAGGCGGGGGCACCGCTGCCCATCTGCCTGGCCTGGCTGTGGCCCACGCTTGTCTTCTCACTCTGGAGGCCCTTCCCGCCACAACCGATTCCTGCAAGGACCCTCACCTGACTTCCCAGAGCCCCTGAGACTGCACGTTGCTGCTCAGAGCCCCAGGGCAAGCCTCTGCTCCCCTCCTCACCAGCCTTCCTGCCGCTTGCTCTCCCTTTACTAAACTGAGGTTGCCGTCGCTTCACTCCTCACACCCTCAGGGTTCTCATCTGTGAAATGGGCCAGCAGCCCTCTCGAGCCCAGTGTGTGTGAGGATGACCCTCACGTGAGAGGTGAGGGAGCGGCACGGCCCAGTGGGCTCAATAGATCAATCAGAAAACCCAAGCCACCCTTAGTCCAGACCTGGTACCCTGGCGTGCCTCAGCCTCTTCGCTGAAAAACCCAGGGAAGCATCCTCCCGGGCCCTGCCCAGCTCACGGGGTTTTCACGAGGCCCAGATACAAGACTGCAGCTCCAGTGCTTTGTACTGTAATCGCATCTCGCCAGGCGTGATCGGCCTCAAATGTGTCAGCGCTGCTGACAGCCTGTCATGCAGGCTGATCTGCTTCCTTGATGTGTATAGATAACAAGGGGAGGTCTGGCGTAGCAAGTTATGGGAACATCTGTCCCAAAGCTGGTGTCCTGGCAAAAGACATCATCCCTCCTCGCTGAGCTCAGAAGGGGCTTGTGGGACAAGCACTACTAGGGACAACTATCACTCTGTCCCTTTCATTGCTCGTATCTGATGGGAAGAGACACACACTCTTCCAACAGTATGAGCCGCAGCTGTTCTTTCAGCAAACTTTATTGAGACCTACTGAGCTGGACCCTAGTGGGTGGGGAAAGGTAAGACGTGTGCCCCACCCCAAAAAACTCTTAGTCCAGTGGATGAAACAGATACATAAGTAGATCATTGAAACTGATACATAAGAGAAGCTCAGCGAAAGCACAGGAACCCAGATTCATTGAGTGAAGCAAAGAGGGCTTCCTGGAAGAGGTGACATGTAAACTCAGGCTTCAAATATTTTGAGATGCAGAGGATTGGGGTGCAGGGGAGAGTAAAGACCCAGAGATGGGGAAGCAGTCTTAGATTCAGGTAGGGGCTGTGAGGCGGAGGAGAAGGCAGAAAGGTAGGATGGGCTGGAGCACAGAAGACATCAAAGGCAGTTTCAACTGCCCGACAGTGGCAGCCCTGGGCGGAGGATTCCCAGATTACCTGCCTGTGACCCTTTGGGCTATTAACAGCAGGATGAGATAATGATTTGAAACATTTACTAATTTATCTTACAACGAAGCCCTTTGTTAAGTGCACCGAACACCTGACATCTCACCTCTTAACATGTGATTCAAGGGGAGGGGAAGGCAAGATGCAGGCAAAGCCACTGTTTCACTGGATCCTCAACTCCCTACCCAACCCATGAGGCCAGAGAGGCCAGGTGCCCTGCCTAAGGTCAGGAGGGAACAAGGGAGGCAGCTGGAATTAGAAGCCAGGTCTCTTGTTCCTTTTGTGTCTTCAGCCAAGATAAGGTCCCAGCTTCATGGGAGGCCTTGGGGGACAGTAGGTCCCTCTGCTCCCAGCCAGAGGGCCAGCCCCGTAGGAACAACGGATGTCACCCCGACAGTGCCCGGAGGGGAATGTTTGCTCTCACCCGATGACACACAGGCCACCTTGTTGATGTCCTCAGGTGATGGTTGGACCACCCTGAGCAGTAAAGACAACTACTATTTATGCCTTTAATTGCTCATTTCTGATTGTAAGAGACACAGAATCGTGGTGGGAAAACTGGGTAGTATAATCATCTGGGCTGGTGACATTTCTTCCTTCTTCGGATCCTTTCCTCAACCCCTACCCATCTCAAGTCATTTTCCTCTTTAGAAAATTCGGAGTTTGTGGAGCTGGAGAGGTTATCCTCGATTACTGAGGAGGGCCCAGTGTCATCACAAGGGTCCCCCTAAGAGGCAGCCAAGAGGGTCAGAGTCAGAGGAGGCAAAGTGACGACGAAAGCAGAATGGGGGAAGGTGCGACAACAGAAGCAGATGTTGGGACGTGCACTCTGAGGATGGAGGAAGGGATGGACGATAGATGGCTGGACTGCGGGCAGCCTCTGGAAGCTGGAGAGGAAGAGGAATGAATTCTCCCCTACAATCTCCAGAAGGCACACAGCCCTGCCAGCACCTTGATTTTAGCCCCATGAGACTCATCTCAGACTTCCTAACCTCCAGAACTGTAAGATAACAAATCTGTGCTGTTTTAAGGCACTCAGTGCTGATGCGTTAGAGCAGTGGTCAGAAACGAATACCGCCCTCAGCAGGTGGCCACCCTCCAAACTGAGATGAGGTGTAAGTTTAAAACAAGCACCATAAAAAAAAATAAATAAAAAATACATAAAACAAGCACCATATTTCAAAGACTTAGTACAACAAAGAGTTTATTTCCTTAATATTTTTATATCGATGTCATGTTGAAGTGATCAACATATCAGATGAAATAAAATGTAGGAAAATTAATTTACCTGTTTCTTTTTTTAACGTCAGTATTAAAAAAAATTGACAGTTACACATGCAGCTCGCATCACATGTCCACCGGATAGCCCTGGAGGACTCCTCATTGCCGTGGAGAAGGAGCCAGCCCCACCCCTCTGTTGCCCCTGGGGATGGGGCCTTGCACTGCAGAAGGGAATCAGCCCACCCACCCCCCACACAAATACACTCTGCAGGTGGGGGGCCTTGGTGATGGGTGAGTGCCTGGCCCCTCCCCCCCACTCCCATCTGCCTGGGCTGAGCCTTGCCTCTGGGCCAGCCAACGTCCCTGCAAGACGTGACTTTTATTTTTAGCAGCTGTACTCACTGCCTCCGCATAGCTGGCTCTCAGACCTGGGTGTGGGCCAGCCCCAGGCCTGCCCTCTCTCTGCCAACGGGGGTCTCAGGAGAAACCGACTCCCTGGCACCGGGGGCCTCTCAGGGCATGTAAGCCATCCTCGAGGCATCCTTGCAAGTAAGTACTATCAGAATCTGCATGTTCTCTGTGCCAAGGCTGAGGCTCAGAGGTCTCTCCAAGCTAGGAGCAGGCAGAGCAGAGTCTGAGCTTCCTCCCCAAGGCCTGACCTGCCCAGAGGCTCTGGGCCGTTGCCAGGTCTCCGATGGCCTTTCTCTGGAGCATTTTTCTGCCTTGGAAAGTATTCTTTTTTTTGTAGGGGAGGGTAAATAG